GAGGCAGTAGCATTTTGTAAAGCCTTGTTCCCCAAATTTAGAATTTGATTCCTTGAAAAAACTGTGTTAATTGTTACTTGTTTCGCCCCTACTCTGTATAAACTGTCAACTGTTTTATCTTGTATGATACTGACATTGATGTTCGATTGCCTCTTTTTTATTTATTTTTATATTTCTTGCCTGTGCACAACGCATTCAGGTAACTTTACTTTACTTTCGAAGCCTTATAGTCTGCACCAAGTGTGCTATCAGCGCACACAACATGAACAAAATTAATATAAATTATACACGTGGGTGTGTCCCTGAGACCTCTTTTTGACAAATACAACAAACTACATCTGAGAAAGTAATCTCAACTCATAAAGAAGTTTCTTCCTCTTATAGTGACGGCGGTCCAGGGACTGTCAGTAAGGTGATCCTTAGTTTGTTTTACATTGAACTATCTTCTTTTCAAGATGTATCGAAACATTACAGAGAACGTGTATAAATTTGTTTAAACATGTTACAGGCACAGTACAGATTGACGTTTGAACGAATCCGTCAGTTGCTTCTAGAATCATCTAGGCAAAGCCGAAAATATATTGATTTTCTTTAAACGTTTGATTAAAAAGTTAGGAACTTCTAGGTTTAAATAAAAATAGAATTTATTTTAGAGTTTTCCGAAATGCTTTGATCAAATATAGGATAAACTAGTCATATCGAGAAGAGACTGCATATCGACTTTTGACTATAACATATATACATTAAACTCTACTGATATACACGTGATTATCGGTGTGCAAATGACTAATATATAATTAGTCATTTGCAATAAATAACAGGCTATTACAAACATTTATCTTTGAAAGCGATAGAGTTTCAACGGGCGATATATCTCCAGAGTCTCCTAGGTGAAATGATACTTTATATTTACCCTTGACAAAATAAACGTTCCCAAACATACACCCAAAACAGTGATAAATAAATGCCCCAGTTCGATGGGGCTAAAAGCTTCGTTAACTTCTTTTGTGAAACTAAAATAAATAATTTTTGTATTAAAAACAGTACCAGACAAAGAATTTACATATATTTATAAGACAATCTTCTTCTTCACGTGCCATCTCCGCGACGGAGGTTGGCAATCATCATGGCTATTCTGATCTTAGATGCTGCTGCTCTGAATAGTTCAATTGATGCGCATCCGTACCATTCCCTCAAGTTAAGCAGCCATGAGATTCTTCTTCTTCCTACACTTATCTTGCCCTGGATTTTCCCTTGTATAATCAATTGAAGTAGGTTGTATCTCTCATAATGCATAACATGCCCCAGGTATTGCAGCTTTCGTGTCTTGATGGTTTCCAATACTTCCATTCTTTTGTTGATTCTTCCCATGACTTCGTTGTTTGTCGCATGCTCGGTCCATGATATCTTCATAATTCGTCTATACACCCATGTTTCAAATGCTTCCAACTTTTTAGCAGTCGACGCGTTAAGTGTCCATGCTTCCACCCCACAAAGCAGAATCGAGAAAATATATAACACCCTGTCAGCCTAACTCTCAAGTCCAATTTTAGTTCTCTTGCACAAAGTACCTTTCTCATTTTATTGAAGTTTGTACGTGCTTTCTTTATTCGAACTTTGATTTCTTTGGAGTAATCGTTTGTGTGATTAATTATTGTGCCAAGCTAATGGTAGTTTTCAACTTTTTCTAAAGCAGTACCGTTAATTGTCAGGCTTTCACCATTATTTTGGGTTTTCGATATCCTCATAAATTTGGTTTTCTTGGTGTTTATTGATAATCCATATTCTTCTCCATTCTTCTCAACTATCTTGTTCATTAGCTTTTGGAGGTCTTGGAGGTTGTATGCTATTATGATAGTACCGTCCGCATATCTAATGTTGTTAATTGGTGTTCCATTGACCTTGATTCCTGTTGTTTCTCCCTCAAGAGCTCTTTTCATAATTTCTTCAGAGTATGCATTGAACACCCCTGTCGCACTCCTCTTTTAACTTCGAACATTTCTGATGTATGTCTATTAATGCGTACGTGTGCCTGCTGTTTATAATATAGATTTGATATAATTCGAAGGTCATTGTGTTGTAGTTGTTTTGCTTTGAGAATGTCCATTAGCTCTTTGTGGCGGACTTTGTCGAAAGCTTTGTTGTAGTCTATGAAACAGACGTACATATCTTGGTTTACATCCAAGCATCTCTGGATTAGTACGTTGAATGCAAAGAGAGCTTCACGGGTACCTACGCCATTACGGAATCCAAATTGAGTTTCTATAAGACAATAGGTAAACATAAACTTTTATGTAGCTAGATCACTGCAAGTAGGTCACTGTAGTTTACTTTAGATGTCACTGTAGACCACTGTAGGTCTAGTTATCATTGAGGAAGGGCGCTACACTGAGTAAAGGTTTTTAGGTATGCTATGGTAGATATTAACGACATGTACAAATAAATCTTAGCCAAATACGTACCATTTTTTTTATTTTAATAACGCATCAACCACGCAGGGCATTAGCGAATTTTGATTAATGTGACAGTTAATACAATTAGTATATATACATTAGTTTACAATAATAATAATTGTATGTGTATTACAAACATGACCTTACTCTTATCATGGGGGACTTCAATGCAAAAGTGGAATCAGAAAGTACTCTCAATATTACTGGAAAATTCGGTCTAGGACAACGCAATGAAAGAGGAGAACGGTTGGTGCAGTTCTGCCAAGAGGAAAAATTTGTAATTATGAATACATGGTTTTGTCTACCAAAAAAGGTAGACTATATACTTGGAAGTCTAAAAGCGATCGAGGAGACAATATTGTAAGAAATCAAATTGATTATATAACAGTCAATGAACGATTTAAAAACTGCATAAAATCGGTCAAGACTTACCCAGGTGCCGATATTTAAATTTAAAATTCTATAGTAACTAAAAGTAATAATCAATAACCTTCAGACGTCAGTTTAGACATTTTCAGTTTTCAATTAATAATTTTAAATACAGAGGTCGCTCTCGGATTTATTTCCGTATATCCGAGCTTCCTCCTTCATCTTACTTCAAAAATGTAAGTCAAACACAGCTGTTGTGGTCGCTGTATGTGGTAGCCATGTTTTCTATTTTAAGTATTTAATGTGAATTATACATATGTATAAGGGTTAGACCCAAGATCTGTGGCCTAGAGAGCCCGATCTGTTTTTTAATATGTTGTTTGTCCACAATTTTCCTTCTATGAAGTATTTATTGCCTAATTGACGTAAGTTTTTTCTGTCATTGTATTTTATAAAAAATTTACTTAACTTAACGTTATTTTAGGATAGCTCTGATGATGACATTTATTATGTCCAAAGTATACTCAGCTTAATTAATAAATTATTTTACACACTATCAATTTTATTGAAAACATACAAAACCTGCTTACCTGCAGTTAGACCCATATAATGGAAGGACCTAAATATCGTTTACTCCGGTTAATCATTCAGGGCAAAATCGAAGGAAAACGTTAAGTCGGAAGAAAACAACTGTTCTGGCTGCGTAACATTAGACAATGGATAGGTAGAACGGTCGAGGAACTGTTTCATCTAGCTGCCGACCGAGAATCATTTCATCAGCTTGTCAATATGACGATAGCCAACGCTTGAATACAAGCACGGCACACAAAGAAGAAGATGTGTATTACAATGTATGTTTTAGATCTTTTGAAGAAGTTGACATTCTTTAAGATAAGAAAATATTTTTTGGGTATCTGTATTTTCTTCTAGGGCATCTCTTAGGGAGTTGGGTATGGTATATTTGAGTCTTTCATTGCCATATATGACACACTGTGTTAAAAAATGTTTTACCGTTAGAATACTGTTGCACACTTCACACACTGGTTTATTTTTGCGCTGTAATAAATAGTCATGAGTAAGTCGTTTGTGGCCGATATGGAGACGGGTACGTATGACTTGCTCTCTTCTGTCTTTTATTTTTGGTTTCCAAAGATGTGGATGTTTGTTGACTTCGTATAGCCCTGATGGAGTGTTCCAAGTTTGTTGCCATTTTTGAATTACTTTGTTTTAAGTATGGTTTTAAATCGTTTTGTACCAATATGTTACTTTCTTCGGACATCGGGTTAGTTGGTGCGTTTTTAGCCAGTTTATCTACAACTTCGTTACCTTCAATCCCGACATGAGAAGGCACCCATAAAAAGTGAACTCGGATGTTCTTATCTGAAATGTTTTTAAAATCTTTTTAATGAGAAGTAGAAGGGGGGTGGGTTTGGAAGTATCCAAATATGATTGTATACAAAAATAAAAAGGATGATCAGTTTGATGTGTTTGTTAAAATTTATTTGTAAATCGATCAGCAAAAACGTTATGCAGTACTAGATTATTTTGGCATATTTTCATATGTTAGGCTTAGATATTGTCCATGTATAGATGAAGTTCACCACATGGCGGCACATAGTCTGTAATTTGTGGCTGATTTCTGCTGAGAAGCACGTGGGAAGCAAAACTGTTCAAAATTGTTTTTCCATACAATTATTTTTGGTATTATTTATTTATATTTATTTATTCTATATTTAATGATGATATCACTTTTCATGTTTTATTCCATGTGGCATTTTAAAACCAACTTTTCTCCTAAAGCATACCAAAATTTCATTGACTGTTGCGGATTGACCAAGTTCATACACATTCTGGGCGTTTCTGATGAAACCTCTAAAAATTTGCTCATTGAGTGCAATACCATTTTCTTTAGTCATGTCGACAATTTAAAGCATTTTGTAACAAAAACGGAATTGTGCAGTTTGGCAGACTTCACGTTACCAATTGAGCTAAGGCAATAAATTAAACATTAAATTTTAAAATTATTTTTAATCACCAAATAGTCACTGTCAGGCAAAATAGTATTTCTTTAAAGATATTTAAAAAAATAAAAATTCTATATTACCTTAAAAGCATTTCATGATGTTTCACACATCGCAATAAATACTCTCTTTGTATTGTTCCATAATTTTCATTCACCTCTCCTTTAGTAACTTTTCTTATTTTTTTAATCGCTTCCTCCATCTCATCAGTATTAAAAATCAAGAAACATTTTTGTAGAAGGTAAAACTGGTTGGATGTGTATAAGCATATAGCCAGTATTAAAAAATCCGGTGCTATGGCACCTACAAACATTGTTACAGCTACTGCTATTGCTTGTAAGACATATATTACTGGATATATCAATCCGTTAGACCAGTCAGAAGGAAATCCGCATGGAAACGGTAAGTTTTTCTCAGACGTAAATAACGGTTGAATCCAAATTGCATTGGTAAAAATTCCACCTAAAATAAATTCACTTTTAACCAATGAATACAATTAAAAAAATGGCATTTAGAAACAGCCTAAAAATATTAAACACTTATTTGGCTTGACTTTTCTCTCTTACTCCTTTTACGAATTAAGTAAATACTCTACCAATATTCGTACTATCGTCAACTACTACATATATGCAAAAGCTCGTAACCCACCAATGGGTTTTTTATAGGAGAACAAAAAACATTTTCTGCATGTGAAAATCGTTAAACCCAAATAAATAATTATTGATTTAATATCAAGGTAGTCTTATATATTGTAAAATACTCAATTTTTTTAATTTTCAAAATTATTTTGGTCTAACGGTGGGTTACTATGATTTGCTGCCAAATGATATTGCAAAATGTGGTTTAAGGATTTTATCGAATTAAAAAGTTATTTCGAAATTAAGTTTTATTTATAACTTAAGTACATATTAAAAACATTTTAAATGAAATAATTATGTTCGATATTATCGTAACAGTAATGGAAATCAAGAATGATAACAGCTTTTAAATGTTTCCATTTCTGAGCCTTTATTTTTCTGTTTTCTAAATTCATTTCATGATTATCTCTCTGGTTTCGTCTTTCTTATTTCACTTTTTTGTCTGTCTTCAATATCACTGGATACACTTCTTAAATATTCTTCATTGGTATTATTTTCATTTGTATTCAAATTTAATTCTTCATTTAGTTTTAAAATTTTGTATTGTTCTTTTTTCGGTGATCCTTCCGATATTTCTTCACTTATGCTGGCTGCGTTGCTGTACTTTAAATTTCGAAAACTTCTTCATGTTCCATACCTTCTATATTTTCTTCATTGTTAGTATTTTCATAGATATTTAACTCTAATATTTTGCATGCTTCTGAAATTTTGTATTAATTTTTTTTTCGTTGTTTCTTTTGATATTTCTTCAGTGCTAGCTGCGATGCTGTCCGTTAAAATTTCGAAAACCTCGTCATGTTCAAATATTTCAACCACTATATCATCAGATTTGTATACATTAGTATAACGGGCTATACATTGTTTGACAGTCGGAACAGTTATAACTATAGGCGGAATATATATATATATATATATATATATATATATATATATATTTATATACATATATATATGTATATATATGTATATATATATATATATATATATATATATATATGTAATATATATATATATACATATATATATACATATATATATATACATATATATATATACATATATATATATATATATATATATATATATATATATATATATATATATATATATATATATATATGTATATATACTTTCCGAGTTTGAATTTGTATCAGCCCAAGTGTCTGACGATGGCTGGGATAGGCCGAAATGATCATAACACTTTAGTGATACCAATTCGAGCACGGGAAGTTTAACGAATTTGTCTCTCAGGCCATATAGTTGGCCATTTAATATATAAAGCGATAGCGGCTTTCGCTAAAAGATTTAATTCTTTACACATTTCGCATAGCATAAGGGATACAGAAAACGATTATTCATATCGTTTCGTTCACGGCCTTCAAAGTAGGGGGCGCCTTTATAAGCTAACTACACGGTAGTAAAGATTTGGGAGACATTCGTTTTACTTTCCGAGTTTGAATTTGTATCAGCCCAAGTGTCTGACGATGGCTGGGATAGGCCGAAATGATCATAACACTTTAGTGATACCAATTCGAGCACGGGAAGTTTAACGAATTTGTCTCCTAGGCCATATAGTTGGCCATTTAATATATAAAGCGATAGCGGCTTTCGCTAAAAGATTTAATTCTTTACACATTTCGCATAGCATAAAGGATACAGAAAACGATTATTCATATCGTTTCGTTCACGGCCTTCAAAGTAGGGGGCGCCTTTATAAGCTAACTACACGGTAGTAAAGATTTGGGAGACATTCGTTTTACTTTCCGAGTTTGAATTTGTATCAGCCCAAGTGTCTGACGATGGCTGGGATAGGCCGAAATGATCATAACACTTTAGTGATACCAATTCGAGCACGGGAAGTTTAACGAATTTGTCTCCTAGGCCATATAGTTGGCCATTTAATATATAAAGCGATAGCGGCTTTCGCTAAAAGATTTAATTCTTTACACATATATATATATATATATATATATATATATATATATATATATATATATATATATATATATATATATAATATATATATATATATTGTTATGATTGTTTATTTTGAGTTCAAACTTAGTTTATTGAGCCAATAAAAAAGAATTATAACTTATTTGTTATCAAAAGTAAAATAATCCTTATATTACCTGTGTTCGATGGATTCAAAAGATTTGCTAGTTGTCTTTTATCAGGATAGAGAAGAAAAGGATAAGAATACAAATATATTATATTACAAAGATTTACGTTTCTTTATTTTATATGAACGAATAAAACAATTATTAAATTCTGTCGTTATCTTATCAATCAGCATACAAGAAAATAAATCAAATTATTTTGATAATAAGATTATAAAGCTACATACATTTATATTACGTGAAAAACCAATTTTACTTAAAATTTTCTTTACTTGAAAAAAGAAACCACAAAACTTTAAACTTTTGATTAGCCTAACAAAACCTCAGTTCTTAAATTTTAATGATAATGACCATGATGTCGAAACGATCCTTCACAGATATAAAATTCAATTGTACAAACACTTACAGTTTATTTTCTTCTTGAGTTGTATGTTGGAACATACCCAGAAAAGTCCAGTCTCCTCAAATATGTGATCTCCCCTCTTTGGCATCTCGGCTCCTTCTTTACGTCTCTGCAAACCTCCTTCAGACTACACAAAAAATACCTGATTCACTTCTCCAAACTCCGCTACTTATTTATGACACCAGGACCTCCTTTTGTCAACTTGCTGCCGTAAGAATGCTTTCACATATACTTTATAAAATGCCCACGGTAGATACAAGGACCTCTTTTAATCCACTTGTTATCTCCTTCTTCAAACTATTCACTTCTTTTCGTTACGCCGGTATCCAAACTCACGAACCACACCCTATCTTGAGACAAACGACTGTTTTCCTTTCGATGACCAAAATATGACTAACTTCTCCTCTCTCATGATCGACTCACCAAATTCCCATTTAAAAACGACCGTCCAATCAAAAAGCTTAAATTGTGTTTACCATGATTTTGGAAAAGCCTAATTTTGGTTTCAAAGAAAACTAAATAGCTTACTTTAAAATTGGTTTTTTTTAATACATCATTTATACATATTTCAAAAGATTAAAATATGGTCATTTAATACTCGACTATACAAACAATGAAAAGATTAACTTACAGGTAAAATGTCTTCTAATTCTAAACAAAGGTTTTTTGATAATTTTGTTTGAAACGGAAAAAGGTCGTTTGCCAAACAAATTTCTATTCTTATCTACACTAAATCTTATCTTAAATTACTATATACAATTTGTTTATATTGATATCTTGAAATTTTATTTCGATGGATTTTTTTATTTATTTTTCTTTGGTTGGAAAAGAAAAAGTATGAAATATATATATATATATATATATATATATATATATATATATATATATATATGTATGACAATATATATATATATATATATATATATATGCTTAGACATGAACCAAGAAATTTACGCCTGCTTTATTGATTTCGAAAAGGCCTTTGACAAAGTACAACATGAACCACTAAGACAAGTTCTAATAAAGAAAAATATAGACAGCCGAGATATTCGAATTATATGCAATCTATATTGGAATCAAACAGCAAATGTCAAGGTTGAGGGCAGACTAACAGAAGAAATTCAAATCCGTCGAGGAGTCCGGCAGGGATGTATCTTATCGCCACTTTTATTTAATCTGTATAGTGAAGCTATCTGTGGACAAGCACTCGAGGAAGAAGATCTTGGTCTGATAATACATGGTGAGACGATCAACAATATAAGGTATGCTGACGATACAGTTCTCCTAACGGGAACGCTAGTAGAACTACAACATCTCGTTCAAAGTCTCAATATATACTGTAACAGTTACGCACTTTCGCTAAAAGATTTAATTCTTTACACATTTCGCATAGCATAAAGGATACAGAAAACGATTATTCATATCGTTTCGTTCACGGCCTTCAAAGTAGGGGGCGCCTTTATAAGCTAACTACACGGTAGTAAAGATTTGGGAGACATTCGTTTTACTTTCCGAGTTTGAATTTGTATCAGCCCAAGTGTCTGACGATGGCTGGGATAGGCCGAAATGATCATAACACTTTAGTGATACCAATTCGAGCACGGGAAGTTTAACGAATTTGTCTCCTAGGCCATATAGTTGGCCATTTAATATATAAAGCGATAGCGGCTTTCGCTAAAAGATTTAATTCTTTACACATTTCGCATAGCATAAAGGATACAGAAAACGATTATTCATATCGTTTCGTTCACGGCCTTCAAAGTAGGGGGCGCCTTTATAAGCTAACTACACGGTAGTAAAGATTTGGGAGACATTCGTTTTACTTTCCGAGTTTGAATTTGTATCAGCCCAAGTGTCTGACGATGGCTGGGATAGGCCGAAATGATCATAACACTTTAGTGATACCAATTCGAGCACGGGAAGTTTAACGAATTTGTCTCCTAGGCCATATAGTTGGCCATTTAATATATAAAGCGATAGCGGCTTTCACTAAAAGATTTAATTCTTTACACATTTCGCATAGCATAAAGGATACAGAAAACGATTATTCATATCGTTTCGTTCACGGCCTTCAAAGTAGGGGGCGCCTTTATAAGCTAACTACACGGTAGTAAAGATTTGGGAGACATTCGTTTTACTTTCCGAGTTTGAATTTGTATCAGCCCAAGTGTCTGACGATGGCTGGGATAGGCCGAAATGATCATAACACTTTAGTGATACCAATTCGAGCACGGGAAGTTTAACGAATTTGTCTCCTAGGCCATATAGTTGGCCATTTAATATATAAAGCGATAGCGGCTTTCGCTAAAAGATTTAATTCTTTACACATTTCGCATAGCATAAAGGATACAGAAAACGATTATTCATATCGTTTCGTTCACGGCCTTCAAAGTAGGGGGCGCCTTTATAAGCTAACTACACGGTAGTAAAGATTTGGGAGACATTCGTTTTACTTTCCGAGTTTGAATTTGTATCAGCCCAAGTGTCTGACGATGGCTGGGATAGGCCGAAATGATCATAACACTTTAGTGATACCAATTCGAGCACGGGAAGTTTAACGAATTTGTCTCCTAGGCCATATAGTTGGCCATTTAATATATAAAGCGATAGCGGCTTTCGCTAAAAGATTTAATTCTTTACACACACACACATATATATATATATATGTATAATATATATATATATATATATATATATATATATGTATATATATATATATATATATATATATATATATATATATATATATATATATATATATATTGTTATGATTGTTTATTTTGAGTTCAAACTTAGTTTATTGAGCCAATAAAAAAGAATTATAACTTATTTGTTATCAAAAGTAAAATAATCCTTATATTACCTGTGTTCGATGGATTCAAAAGATTTGCTAGTTGTCTTTTATTAGGATAGAGAAGAAAAGGATAAGAATACAAATATATTATATTACAAAGATTTACGTTTCTTTATTTTATATGAACGAATAAAACAATTATTAAATTCTGTCGTTATCTTATCAATCAGCATACAAGAAAATATATCAAATTATTTTGATAATAAGATTATAAAGCTACATACATTTATATTACGTGAAAAACCAATTTTACTTAAAATTTTCTTTACTTGAAAAAAGAAACCACAAAACTTTAAACTTTTGATTAGCCTAACAAAACCTCAGTTCTTAAATTTTAATGATAATGACCATGATGTCGAAACGATCCTTCACAGATATAAAATTCAATTGTACAAACACTTACAGTTTATTTTCTTCTTGAGTTGTATGTTGGAACATACCCAGAAAAGTCCAGTCTCCTCAAATATGTGATCTCCCCTCTTTGGCATCTCGGCTCCTTCTTTACGTCTCTGCAAACCTCCTTCAGACTATACAAAAAACACCTGATTCACTTCTCCAAACTCCGCTACTTATTTATGACACCAGGACCTCCTTTTGTCAACTTGCTGCCGTAAGAATGCTTTCACATATACTTTATAAAATGCCCACGGTAGATACAAGGACCTCTTTTAATCCACTTGTTATCTCCTTCTTTAAACTATTCACTTCTTTTCGTTACGCCGGTATCCAAACTCACGAACCACACCCTATCTTGAGACAAACGACTGTTTTCCTTTCGATGACCAAAATATGACTAACTTCTCCTCTCTCATGATCGACTCACCAAATTCCCATTTAAAAACGACCGTCCAATCAAAAAGCTTAAATTGTGTTTACCATGATTTTGGAAAAGCCTAATTTTGGTTTCAAAGAAAACTAAATAGCTTACTTTAAAATTGGTTTTTTTTAATACATCATTTATACATATTTCAAAAGATTAAAATATGGTCATTTAATACTCGACTATACAAACAATGAAAAGATTAACTTACAGGTAAAATGTCTTCTAATTCTAAACAAAGGTTTTTTGATAATTTTGTTTGAAACGGAAAAAGGTCGTTTGCCAAACAAATTTCTATTCTTATCTACACTAAATCTTATCTTAAATTACTATATACAATTTGTTTATATTGATATCTTGAAATTTTATTTCGATGGATTTTTTTATTTATTTTTCTTTGGTTGGAAAAGAAAAAGTATGAAATATATATATATATATATATATATATATATATATATATATATATATATGTATGACAATATATATATATATATATATATATATATATATATATATATATATATATATATATATATATATATATATGCTTAGACATGAACCAAGAAATTTACGCCTGCTTTATTGATTTCGAAAAGGCCTTTGACAAGGTACAACATGAACCACTAAGACAAGTTCTAATAAAGAAAAATATAGACAGCCGAGATATTCGAATTATATGCAATCTATATTGGAATCAAACAGCAAATGTCAAGGTTGAGGGCAGACTAACAGAAGAAATTCAAATCCGTCGAGGAGTCCGGCAGGGATGTATCTTATCGCCACTTTTATTTAATCTGTATAGTGAAGCTATCTGTGGACAAGCACTCGAGGAAGAAGATCTTGGTCTGATAATACATGGTGAGACGATCAACAATATAAGGTATGCTGACGATACAGTTCTCCTAACGGGAACGCTAGTAGAACTACAACATCTCGTTCAAAGTCTCAATATATACTGTAACAGTTACGGCTTGAAAATTAATTTGAAAAAAACTAAATTTATGGTAATCACGAAATCAAAGAACATCAGATCTAATCTTGTAATAGACAATACGACGATTGAGCGTGTGCCCTGTTATAAATATCTAGGTGCTTGGATCACAGACGAGACTGATCAAAGAAAAGAGATTAGATGTAGAATAGAAATCGCTAGATCAGTCTTTAATAGAATGCGCAAACTCTTTTGCAATCGTGATATCAATATAAAGTTACGAATACGAATGCTGCGGTGTTATGTCTTTTCTACCCTGTTATATGGAGTTGAGGCTTGGAAACTAAAACAGTTGACCATAAAAAACATCAAAGCTTTCGAGATGTGGTGCTATAGGCGCATTCTCAGAATATCATGGATGGACCGCGTCACTAACACGCAAGTACTCCAAACTTTAGACAAAAGATGCGAAATTCTAAATGAGATAAAAACTAGAAAGATGGAATACTTGGGGCACATTGTGAGAGGTGAAAAGTACGAACTTTTAAGAAACATCATGCAGGGCAAAATTAAGGGCAAAAGAAGTGTGGGAAGAAGAAAAATATCGTGGCTTCGTAATCTACGTGAATGGTTCGGGTGTAGTTCGATTGAACTTTTCAGGCGCGCATCTTCTTGTTTTATCCCTTAATAATCTTGAATTCCTCTGTCTCTCCTCTTTGTATTCTTATGTTTATTTTGTAATTATTATTGTCATTTCTTTAAATTTTCTTTATGTGCAATTTTTAATTTTTTAAGTGCTATAATTAATTATTTCTTTTTAATTGGATTAAATGCATGTTTGAAGTCTATAAATACCATTTCCAATTCGTTTATTCACAATTTATATTCGTTTGCTTTTTCCATTATTTATTTTATTGTGTGTATTGCATCTATTGTAGATCTCCCTTCTGTGAATCCACTTTGGTACTGTCCTTCTTTTTAATCTTTGATAACCTCATTTTTATTATTGATATATTTTAGTATTGTCAATATTTTATATGTGGTATTTACTAACGTTACTCCTCTATAATTTTCACAAATTTGTTGGTCTCCCTTTTTATGTATTGTTATGATCTGGCATTCCCTATTCCCCATTCCCCTGGCATTTTCTCTGCTTTCCAGATTTCTTCTCTTCTTTAAGTTTTATTGAATTAATTTAAAGTCATATTTAAAACATCCTCATATGGGTTACCATATTTTCAGAATTTGGTTTACCATGTACCGTTGACCTGAAGATGCATAGCAAAGTATAGTATGCGAAACCGGTTGATGGTGGTAGAATAAATTGATTGTGAGTAAATCTTATCCTATCTCTTTTTACCCATTTGAAATGAACTTACACAGACAACGTATTCAAGATTTGTTGAATTTGTTAACTTTTTTACACTAGAGTAAAATTATAATGCTAGGTTTTTCACCTACAGTAAAAATTTTATAATTTTACTCTAGAATAAATGTTTGAGGTTAAATTTTTTACTTGATGTGTTAAAATTTTATCCTCTGATTCGGAGTAAGTACCACATAGGAAAAGTTGATCCATTCTGTTAAGGATGTTAAAGAAAGATATTTAGGCGCTATGAACTATTTGAAATATTCACAAATATTTAGCTTTATCCACTATACTTGGAGTCTAACTCTATTCAGGTAATTCTAGTTTTAATCCAATATTAGCGATTTAAAGGTAATATATACTGCATTTCGCTGTATGAATTACAAAAATTTAGAGTATTGAAAAACCAACTTATGATCCGAAAACGTTTTGAATTTTAAGGGGTCCATTTTGGATAACTTTAAATAAATATCATTTGTACAAAAAATACTTTTTTACACTGCTTTTTATTTTAATAAATTATTATTGTATTGCCTTCATAATTGTGTTAAAAGTTGGTTAAACATTTAGTTAAAATGTTTCTTTTTTAATGTTCATAATAATTAAATCCGTTAAAATTTGTTTCTAAATTTTTTGCATTTAATATAAGTGGTAAATGTGTTAGTAATTCGTGAAGGAACTCATACATAACATGAAATTAGTTTACCCAAAATTACTGTTTTACCCACCTACAACAAACATCGCTGTCATAATACCAAAACCTGCCATGTATATTCCATTAAATCCGTTTTTATTTGTTGTTTCCATTAAATTACTTGGCCAGAAGTTAGCATGTATATTATTTATTAGATTTCTAAATTGTTTAGACTTATAACAAATTACTGGGATTTTAAGAATAGGCTAAAATAGAAAACCAGCGATTGAATAATATCAGTAAAATTTGTACTTGGTAAAGGAGTGTTGAAAAGTGTGTGTATGTGAGTGAGTGTGTGTATGTGAATGAGTGTGTGTGTGTGTGTGTGTGTGTGTGTGTGTGTGTGTGTGTGTGTGTGTGTGTGTCACGTCTGTGCGTCAAGTAAAACAGGGTGAGCATGAAGAAACACTTTCTATGATCAACTATGAAATATACTCCAACAGATATAATCCTAGAGAGATATTCTAACAGCTAGGAGAGTCATAATAGGAGGTCATTTAAGTGTATATACCAATAAAAACTTCATCTTTTTTTTTCTTCTTTTTCAGTAAGTTGTCGTTTTATCGTTTTCGTGGTCTTCTAATCGTCTTTCTATTGGGGAACTGTCTTTTTGTTGTCACTCGGCAACCTTGGGGAACTCTATTTGTTGTCATTAGGTTTATATAATCGTCCATTCTACTCTTCTATTTCTTACCCAAATGTTGATGTTCTCCATTTGCATCAATGTCGTATATTTGTACTTCTAGCTCTGTCCCATAGTGTCTTACCATCAATTTTTGTGTTTCCATCTCTGCTGTTTCTAATATCCGTTTTTTCCTTTCAGGTCGCGTTTCTGCTGCGGTTGTCATAATTGGTCTGATGGCTGTTTTGTAAATTCTGCCTTTCATTTCCTTCCCGATATTTTTATTTCTCCATATTGTTTCATTATCTTACAGTTCAGTTTCTAGCTTTTCGTAGCTAGATAATGTGATGCATAGATATTTAAACTCAATTACTCGTTCTATTGTGTGACCTACCAGCTCTAGTTTACATCTTAGTAAATTTGCTGTTATAACCATGCATTTTGTCCTTTTTAGGAAAATGAAAATGTTAAATTTTCTGGCGGTTATATTAAATCGGTGCAGCATATGATGTAAATCATCTTCACTTTGAGAGAGTAGTATTGCGTCGTATATCAGGTTGAACAATAAATGACTCAGAGAATCTTTCTGTCTTTTCCCATTGTCAATTTTAATAGAGTCGGTTAGTTCTTCTTCTACTATTATTGTGTTTTATTGGTAGATATTTTCGTTCGTTTATTTCTAGAGGTATCTCTCGTGCGTACAATAAGTAAATAACGTCATTTAATTTGACCCAGTCAAATGCCTTCTTAAGGTCCACGAAACAGATATGCCGTTTTTTGTATTCTAATGATTTCTCTTGCACTGCCTTATTATAAATAAAGCGTTGGTGTATGACCTTTGCGACCTAAAATCTTGTTGTTCTTCTGTTAGAGTTATAATTTCATTCAGTTTGTTTGTTATCACTTTGGTTGTTAATTTTAGTGTTGTGTTTAATAAATTAATTCCTTTGTAGTTTTCCAGGTCCAATTTGTCTAAACTTTTTAAAAAGGGGTATTAGGATACTTGATCTCCATTCTTGAGGAATTCTGTTATGTTCTATTATTTTTTGGATTAGTTTTAACCGTTGTTTGGACAGATCTGGTCCTCTGTACTTTAGAAGTTCGTTCGGTATTCTGTCCTCTCCTGGTGATTTCATATTTTTTAACTTTCTTAATGCTTCCTTTACCTCTTCCTTCTTCTTCAGTGCCTTATTTGGTCCGGATTATGCCAAACATCAAGGCTATCATTTTGTTAACAGCTCTGCGAAACAGCTCCACGGAGGTCATCCCAAACCATTGTTGGAAGTTTTTTAACCACGAGATACGACGGCGTCCCGGTCCTCTCCTGTCAAATACTTTACCCTGCATAACGAGTTGAAGAATTCGATATTTTTCTTCGTTCCGCATCACGTGCCCAAGGTACTGAAGCTTACATTGTTTCACTAAATTAAGCACTTCTTTTTCTTTTTTCATGCGCTGTAGGACCTCAACGTTGGTGACATGGTCCACATACGATATTATTAGTATCCTTCTGTAGATCCACATCTCGAAGGATTCAATCCGCTTTTTTGTGGATTGCGTCAGTGTCCAGGCTTCAACTTATATAGTAACACTGAAAGAATGTAGCACCTCACTATCTGCATCTTGGTTCCCAAATTGAGATCACTGCCGCACAGCAAGGATTTCACCTTTATAAATGTAGACCATGCCATTTCAATTCTGAATCTAATCTCTTAAGCGTATTCTCGTTGTGAGTTGGGGATAGTTCCAAAGTAAGTGAATCTATCGACTCTCTGGGTATCTTCGCTACCTGCCATTAGTGCTCCGGGATCTAAATTTGCATGGCTTACAACCATAAATTTAGTTTTCTTAATATTAAGGTCTAGTCCTTCTGTTACGCTTACAGTTCTTGTAACACAGTATCATCGGCGTAGCGGGTATTATTCATGTATTCACCGTTCACCCGGACTCCCATCTCTAGGTTTGTGAGGACTTCAGTAAAAATTTCCTTAGAGTATATATTAAAAAAAGTCGGCGAGAGCACACAACCTTGCCTTACTGCTCGCATGATCATCACTTGGTCGGTCAACTGGTCTTTAACCTTGACTTGAGCACGCTGGCTCTAGTACCTCTTGCCCCTTAATATTTATTTCTTCGTTTGTCGTCACGTCTGGTGTTGCCGGTTTATTATCGCCACCTTTAGAAAAGAAAGTAGTCGCCACCGTTCATTATCGCCATCATCGAAAGTAGTCTACTTATGTTTCTTTCCGAATGTGTTTCTTTTTTTATTCGTTCGTTCATCTCTTTTCTTTGTCCCCTGATCATTCTCCATATTTCTTTTTGTGTTCCGTAGAAGTCGTATCCCATCTGCTTTGAGAAGCTCTGCCAGTGTTCACTTTTTATTTATCTAATTTAAGTATTCGTTTCATTTCTGATTCATTTATAGTAGTTATATGTCTGTTGTGTTTGTTGTGTTTTCTATTGTTAAAAGGCTTTCTTCTTTTCTTCACTTTCTCTCTCTAAACCATGGTGTTTTCTTTATTGATATGTTAGTGTTAGTTAGTTTCCTCCCTCAAAGTGATTCCGTTGCTGCTTTCTTTATGTTGTTTTTGAGTTTTTACCAGCTTTCCTCGATGTTATCATTTTCTAATATTTTATTCCCAGCGATCTTTTTTGATATTCTTTTTCTATCAAAGTATTTCGTGGATTCCGTATTTAGTCCTCAAACTTTAATTTTTGGTTGTGTTGACGCGGATGTGATTTTGGTACCTCTAGTGTATTAGGCTACTTACCGTGGTCATCTTATATATGTAATATAGTATATTTATATAGTATCAATTCGGTTCCCAGACTGTACATTGGTTCTTTAAGCACTATTCGTTTTTACGATTGGTAGGTTGCTAAGCTTTAAGCACTATTCGTTTTTACGATTGGTAGGTTGCTAAGCTTGCCAATCACCCTCTAGATTTTATCCCGGCTTGGGACCGGCTGTGGTAATCGCAGAGCTACTCGATCCACCCCGCAATCATCCCAGACAGTGTTAGGCTAATCCGACTACCGGTTACCGGTAATCACAATAGAATATATTATGCAAAATGTAGAAGGCTGCGCTTTCGAGAAAAAGACAAAATCATTTTCAAGTAGACTATTTTATGAAAAAGAAAGTCTTCTTATACATGATAATAAGGACTGCAAGATATTATTAATAATATTGTGATCCAAAAATTCTATCTGTTCGTCTAATTTTTGTTTTACATATGTTCGATTGCTCACTGAATGTTAACCCTTAACTTGACGGTGTGCACTCCAGGATACGTTATTTATTAAATTATACTTCCTCTAAATAAATTAAGTTTGCAGCAAGATTTTAAAAGTACCCTCTCCCTATAGCATTTGGCTAACCAACAAATTAATTTGAATGCCATACATAGAGTTTTGGCACAATTAGAGAGTGTTTTGTGTAGACGTGCTCAAAATGACTTCCAAAAAAGTGGTAATTTGTGTCATTCGGTAAGTAAATTAAGTTTTTATGTGTTAATAGTTACTGTATGGATTGGCAAACTATAATTATAGTTAATTGTGTCTTCATTAAATAATTGTATAAAATAATATTCACAATTTGTCTATAAACAAACAGATAGGATCACTTTGAAAAGTAGTATCTAGGAAGACACATTGCCAGTTAAGCGACAATTTAGTTTGTATCCTCGGGTGTACATTGCCAGGTACTGAAGAAAATTGAATAAGTATCTTTCTGGATACATTACCCGGTATACGGACAAATACTAATTGTATCTTATTAGATACTTTGCCCATTAGAGGATTAACAGAAAAGTAATAAAAACATTTGGTATATTATGCTTGTAACGATTTGTTCTATAATTTGCGATTTATGGTATACAGTCAGATTCAAAAATTTATTTTCCTTGTGGATTTTTGATTTATTGTATGTACTCCAAAAGCTTGTGAATCAAATGCAACTATTGTTGATCTTCACATATATATATATATATATATATATATATATATATATATATATATATATATATATATATATATATATTATATATATACATATATTATATATGTATATATATAATACATATACATATATCATTTGTTTACACATTTTGTAACAAAATAACCATCAAAAACGCTCCATTATTGAAATGTGTGAGATCCTAAAATACCCATCTACAATAAACAAAAGAACTGACATCGACAATTTAAGCCAGGTTTACCGCTCTCTCATCTTACGAAATAAATAATACCAATATTTCTGCGAATATTATTTTTTGCAAAGTTTTTGTGTTCTTTGTTTCTGTTAAATTTTTGTTTAAGTTGATTCTACATTTATGAGTAAACTTAAGTACATAATAATATACAATAACATCTTTAATACTACATATTGAGTTGTAAGTAATAAATTATTAGATCTGTATTTCTTATGAACTCTATGTCATCTTTGTATTTTAGAGAACTGATGAAGCTTTAGAAGTATAAAGCGAAACGTCTTCTATAAACTTATGAAGTAGTTGACTTCTGTTTTATTTTGCCAACCTGAATGACCGAATAAACCTCTGAATTCACTATTATAGTTGAATT